GAAAAGATGTCCGATAGTTCGGATGTGTACGCATCATCAGAAACAGACTACGACATTCATTCGATGTCTGATGCAGACACGATGTCTGATGAAGATGTGATGGACCAAATGGATGCTGACATTATCACTTGGTTTCAGTACTGTAGAATCGCCGAGGGAATTGTTCGCGAGTACTTGGCACGTAATCGAGCACGTCGATTTCTATTCCCGACAGAGCGATGCGGCCACGTTTTTATGCTACAAAATTTGCACGTCTATCCGCATATGTGTTTTCAGGAGTTTAGGATGTACCCGCCGATGTTTATGTACTTCACGTACATTCTTCGCGACTCATTCGGAATTTCTAGCAGCACGAACATTGACATATACGAACATGTGGGAATGTTCTTGTGTATTCTAGNAAAAGAGATCATTCAAACGGTAGAAAGAGAAAATAATCATAGTCTATTATTGATTTGGATGCATGGGAGCACTTGGATTTATTTTGCAAAAATTATATCCTAAATGGATTGGATAATACACTTTATAGAGTGTATAGTTCGATGGACTCGACCAAAGATCTATAAGATTCATTAGAAAATAAGTATAAGATCGAGAATATTGAAACAAAGAAGCTCATTGTCGGTGAGATTTTGGACTACAAAATAGTAGACTCTAAAATCGTGATAAGTCAATTACAAGAATTACAAATTCTACTTCATAACATACATGAAGAAAATATGGAATTGAGTGAGTTCTTCCAAGTTCCAGCCATCATTGGTAAACTTCCAATTTTCATGGCACCAATGATTCCTATACCTTTCACATCCCCACCATTCCTTAAAGCTGTCCATTTCCATGTCCACCCTTAAAGTTCTTCATTCTCGAATTCTAACAGCAACAGACATTTCATAAAACACTGGTCTCTCTAACATCTCATTCTCCAACATCATCAACCATGAGCTTAGGATTTTGTTGATTTTACAAGTACATGAGGAAATTCCAACTAGCCTTGTGGTTTATGCCCCCCCGAGTTTGACCTGAAATGAAAATAATAAATGGTGGATCCGTGCATTAGATAGATTCATGAGACGATTTGTGTGGTGGGTTGATGATTGTCGATGCAATGAGGATGGGGGTCGTTGGTGTCAAATGACTTGGATCTACAATAATGGCCACACAGGTAGCTTTGGTTTCCCTGAGGGTATGGTGGAGTGTGGGAGTGGGGTAGGAAGAAGTGGAAGAAGAAAAATAACTTTCCAAATTATTTTCTTTTTTATTTATTGTTTTTTATTCAATATATTTTAATTCTTTAATATAATAAATCTAAAGTTGCCCTTTTGTCCTTAAAAAAAAAAAAGAATTGGAACAAGTCGTTGGCCTTTGGTCAACTAATGGAATGACTAACGATTTCTGTCATTTTGTCCTTATGGTAAGAATACTTGAAAGGTTTGGAATCGTGGATAGCACAAAGTGAAGGTTGGAGTAAAACCTGCAAAAAAGGGAAAGATTTGAGGCCGTAGATGCAATTTTTCCTAGATTAAATTCTAAATATCATCACATTCTATACATCTTTTTAATTTTTTTTACATGGATTTCATTAAAATATAATACAAGTTACAAAAATATAAAAAACTCTGGAAATTAATAAATTATTCATTTATTGATAAATTAATAATTCATCTAAAATAATAATTTTTCTGTCAGATGGTGTGTTTGATGGATATTATTAAAAAATAATATATTTTAAATAGTGATATGATGAGAAATGTGTGGTTAAAATGTAAGGAAACGTTATTAATGTGATGTAAAGTATTATTTTATTGAAATTGTTGAAAATGAGTTTTGAAAGAATGTGTACCAAACAGGGCCTAATAATATTATTTTATAGAGGTTTTATTATATCAATGTAGGAGGATGGTAGTGAAAGAGAAAACCTCTAAGTTGAAATTCTTGTAATCATATAAACTACAGGGGTCTCTTTAGCAAATTCTGAATTTATTTCCGTAGAATAGTCTAGAACACAAATTCCAGCCGTCAACTTCCATGATCAACGGTCCCTATGCATCTAGACGAAAAATTAAAAGCACTAGAGAGCGGGAGAGAATTCTAGACCACGAGATTTCCTATGGTCGGAAAATCCAACGGCCACGATCCTTCACCTTCCATTAGGACTCAATCTGGACCATACAAAATTCCTATATCTACATCTCCTTCCCCCTCTCCCACACAAGCCTTTCTCTAGTTCTTAGCTATCGAATTTACATCTGTAATTTTCGATCTGCATTGAAATTTGGTTATTGATCGGTATTGGTAGTATTTCAAGATGTTTGGGAGGGCACCGAAGAAAAGTGATAACACTAAGTATTATGAAATTCTCGGAGTGTCTAAAACGGCGTCGCAGGATGATTTGAAGAAGGCATACAAGAAAGCTGCTATCAAGAATCATCCAGATAAGGGTGGAGATCCTGAGAAGGTATATTTCGTAATTATTATTTCTTTTATCGAAATTTTCATAATTTTTTAATATTTTTAGTTTCTGACTTTCTTCAATTTGATAATTTCTGAGATTTGATGAAAAAGTGACGTGTACGTAGTAGATGCTGCAATCATATAGCAATTTTTGATAGTTGTGAAATTAATATCCATTTAGTTCTTTGTAGAGGACAACATTTAGAAAGGATCAATATGAAAGAGATTTGTGATACTAAGTAGCCAAGGAGGAGAAATTCGGAATTAATTGGTGGAAAATTGAAAGAGAGAAGGATTAAAAGTAATTTTTATTTGGGCTTGACTTTGATTTTTGATACTTGGTTTTAGAATGTTGAACGGATTCAATTTACCTTCTTGTCAATATTTAACCGTAGTTGGTTTTGAGTCCCTGTGACCTCTTCTAGTTTTAGTATGGTAATGAATGTCATAAGGTGCTGCTGAATGCAGTCTTAAATTTGAGGAAAATGGTATATGTTCAAGAATTGGGGAAGTGAAAAATTAGTTACTTTTGAGTTTTGACAAGTTTTACTTAATTTGTATGCCAAAAAAAAATAATAATAATAATAATAATAATTCTACAAGATTTCCTGGCTTAATCTAATTTTATGGCCAATGTCCTAGGATTATGCGTTATATTGTAGTTTTCGATCCTCCATTGCCAATTATGCTCTGGGTCAAGTTGTGTTTGAGTTGAAAGCTATTTCACTTGTAACATAATATGTGGACTGTGAACCATTTTAACCTCTTTTCTTCTTTTACAAGTTAATTTGAAAAGTCAATTAGATTTGTGGAACTTGGTTGTGTTGAGCACAAAGCTGTTATTGTAAGTGTTCGAGATTTTGGTGGGTGTCATCTTTGTTTTTGCTCAACTGCATTAAGTTTCACTGTGAATAAGTGACACCAGTGATTTTGTGAAATCCACAAGCTCGTTGAAATCTCTCAATGATGCATGTTTGGTAATTGCTTAAAAAGAGAAATAATGTGGTGGATATTGCGTGTTTTAGTTATCCCCCCTTTTAGCAATAGACTTCATTATAGGATTTAAATTTGGTAAATATTTTTTTATGCTACAGTTTAAGGAGCTTGCTCATGCTTATGAGGTTCTGAGTGATCCCGAAAAACGTGAGATTTATGACCAGTATGGCGAAGATGCACTCAAGGAAGGGATGGGTGGAGGTGGCGGCATGCACGATCCATTCGACATTTTCTCATCCTTCTTTGGTGGAAGTCCATTTGGAGGTTTTTGACTGACTCTTATCTCTCTCTGTTTTGTTTTTATGTTTTGGATTAGAGGGACATAGTTTTGAGTAGCCTTTATTTCTCTGCGCTTTGCTTGGGGAGCATATTACACTGACAAAGGAGTTAATTTTCCAATAATTAGGCGGTGGTAGCAGTAGGGGAAGGAGGCAAAGGAGAGGAGAGGATGTAGTGCATCCACTGAAGGTTTCTCTTGAAGATCTTTACCTTGGTACCACAAAGAAGCTGTCTTTATCACGCAACACACTGTGCTCGAAGTGTAATGGGTAAGTTCCAGGTTCCTTGGCCTGCAATTATAGTATAGATGGTCGGTATCCTAACTCAATTAGTTCTGTTGTATTTTCTCCTTGGCAGCAAAGGATC